TACATGTAATGCTACATGTTCAGCACTGGAGACATCATAGATTCATTTGTTCCTTGTTGGGAGGGAGAGAGGAAACACCTGTGTTGCACAATGAAGAATGTTCAGCAAAATCTGTGAACTCAACCTATCACATGCCAACGGTAGCTTTCCTATAATCAAAAGTGACTCCAGATGTCCCTGGGAAAGGGACAGTGTGCAAATCATGCTCTGTGGACAGCTTCCCCTAACTTTATAAACACCATTCCTTCCACTGAAGAAATGCCCCCCTACCCCGTAGCCCCTCTCCTCTGAAGGAAACTCAAGCTCAGTTTTTAAGACTCACTTTACATGTCATTGCTTCCATGGTGAAGTTTTCTTCCAAAGTTAGTATTCCTGCTACCCACCTTCTGTTTTCCCATGTCCTCTTTTTCGATTTTCCCTTCTAGATGTGAGGACCTTCATCCTACTGTTCCTTATATTTGACTGATTTTTTAACAGTCAACAGTCAACAGAAATTTATTAATAAAGGAATAAGAGCCTTTAATAAAAGCACCCATGAGCTACACCTCCCGGTGTTGAAGTAATTTCATTTCCTAGAATGATGCCTCACACTAAATACTATATAATGCTTCCGTTCATTTTTATGCCTTTGTTCGGTTGACCTGAATTTAATTGATAAACTCAACTGTGGTAACCCAAGTTCCTTGGCTTATGTAATTCTGATTCATTTATCTGATTTTTTTTTACATATTTACTTTATTATTCAACGTTTTATCATCAGATGTCACTTCAAATTCTTATTATATATGTGAGTAAGCAAAACTTGCATAGAGATATAATACCATAAAAATTACATTTCAAGAACAAAAGTAACATAACTACTCTAACACTGACTGCACAGTAACTTTCAACATTGATTCTGTATGAATCCAACATCTTCCTATAGCATCACAAAGTTTACCAAAAAAATCTGGCTTAAATACTTTGTGTACACTCTCTATATATAGATAGGAAGAGAGAAGAAAGAGAGACAATAGCAGTACACACCAACATTTTTTGAGAGGAAAGCCAATGAACAAGAAACATGGAAATAAATATTCAACATGCAACAACCAAACAAAAAAAACTAAAGATAAAAAAGACTAGAGATTATTGACAATCAGTCCTCCCTAACATCGCTAACCAGAAGCTCCTTTCCCATACAAGCAACCTTTGAAACCTGAGACATGCACTTAATTTCCCCAAAACTAGAATCGGTCTCTGGTGCCATAGGTTTCAAAATAATCTCTGCTTTGTCACTTTCTACATTATGGGTCTTAAAATTACATCAAAATTAATCATTTCAATTCTTAGTTACGCTATAACTCAGGACAGAGCAATTACTTTAGTTTCTGTGGTCAATTTATAAAGCAAGACAATGATTTAATTAGGAAAGTGACATCCACCTATATCGACTGGAGAAACTTCATAGATTAAATATGCAAAGCCAATATCCTCAAGGCTGACAGGTTTCTATTATTAAACTGCTAACATGTTTATTTCCCCTACAATAGCTGGGTTTTTGTCATGAATACGCATGAAGCCTTGTAGTTATTAGCTGTGATGACTGGGTGACAGTGAGGACATTACTTGAGAACCTGTATTTGACAGATCACTGACACATAGTCACAATTCTTCTTTTTTACCCTCTCTTCACTTATACAGGAATCATACAGTAGAAAATCAACTGAAGCTACCAGAGATTATTCAGGCTTAATAGCATACATCCTTTTAGCTGGCGGTTAGAACAATACACATAGCGGCAGAGTTAAGCAGAGGCATCAATTATACTCTCAGACCTGTTAGTATTTTTGACAATATTTAAATGGCACATCCCTTCAGGGCATGGCTTTTTTGTCCTCTCAGTTACACACCTGTCAAGTGTTTAATTTGCCAAAGGGAAACAGTCTGATTTCTAAGGGGCAGCCTTAATGCTGAGGAAGCAAATTGGAGAAATTAAACATTATTGAATAGAAGTAATGAGGAGGATCTGAGGGGGAAAAATTGTAGGCTTAATTCAACATGGCATGACAGCATCTGCCATTAGTGCAACAATATGATCATGTTCTCCAGCATGCTGTATATACCTCAGGCGTTTTAATTAGTCATTTCCTTTATTTTTTTTTTCTCTAAAAGGCAACAGAATGGTGGAGGACAGTCTATCAAATTTTGGAGAAGTATGAAAAAGATGGAGATAGCAAATTGCAACAGATATGCACATAAAATTACACACTGGAAAAACAATTTAAGTTACAAACAAAAAGGTAGCCATGTCAGATTTTAAAACTGGTTTAAAAACATGAAAAAAACTTTATTCCTTAGGTATGCTTATTAATTATAAATGCTAATAAGTTAACCATTAATGGATCTAAGTTATATAAATGTAGAATATGTACTCTAACAAAGAAAATAATGATTTTTGAATGGTTTTGAAGATAATGGAAATCATACGAGAATTTTTAAAAAGTAAATGGAAAGATTAACCTAAAGAATCAGATACACTCAGAATTTACCATGATTTCAAAAAAGCGAAACCCTTCACACTGAGCTAAGACAGAAGGAAAACGGGCTTAGTATATTAAAGCTCCTCTATCTCCTGAGGTGATAAGTCTACAGATCTAAACCAGTTAGGAGTAAGGTGCATCCAGACCCCCCACAGCCCGGCCCAGGAGCTCCCCAACCTGCACAGATGCCCAGAACAGCACAGAAAGAAAAACATATGAGCTCTCTCTGCAGTGGCAATAGTGAGCAACATTGGCACTTGGGGCTTCTATGCAAGGAACACATTCATAGGACATCGAGTCGAGTGCAAACTGAAGTCTTGGAGATGAACGTCTAGACCAGACGCAGATCAAAGGGCCATTTTCACAGAGGAATGGCCTTAACTCTCTTACAGATAAAGCCCCATGCCCAACTCCTGTACTCTCTCCTCTGTGTTTGTTTCTGTTGGGTTTAAACACTTCAGCAGCACATATACTAAACACAAGTCCCAAGTAAATCTTGTCTGGCTTGAACATCAGCCTCTTACTATTTACAAATGAGACAAAGAACCTAGGAGTGTGAGGTCCAGAATATGGAGACCAGGTTTTTATCACTGAGGAAAAATTAAAATGGAAGGCAAGTCACAGAGTCAAATGCAAACAGCTGTATATTGGTGGTCCAAACAACAAGGTTCCAGCCTTACTCTTATACTCAAATGACAGAATTTCTGTTAGTCCCTAGAGCAGCAGCGTGAGAAACAGATGTTTTCTCCTCCAAATGAAAAGTGACCAAGATGTCAAAGACACAAGTTATGTAAAAAAAGTCTATAGAATTCAGAAATCAATGTCTACCAATGATAAAATTACAAGATAATATATTTAGTTTTAGAATATGAGGTGCTATAACATGATGCTTAATATATTTCCAAGTAGGTTTCACATGAATCATGTGGGAATCTAGTCTTGCAGCCCATATGCTACTTGCACTTGGAAATGGTATAAGAATGGTATAAGAATGCATTTGGAAACGGTATAAGAATCTCCCAAAGAGAACCATTCATATAGCCTTTCATAGGACATAGCATACACAAATAGTATTCCCATTATATAAGGTTGCCCACAAGTTATCTGATGGGGCTAATAGCACTCCTTAACATTCTTTTTCTTAGAACTTTTCCTCTCTTTATTCTTTCGCAAGACATAGTAAGGGGCAAAGACATCTGTGCAACTTCTTTACACTCAGGTAATTTTCCACATCATAATTATTTCGGAATATTGGCTTCTTCAAAAGCTTCCCAACCCATTCTACATGTACAGAAAACCAGTCTTTTCAATAACTTGTAAAGGGAATAAACGATACATAACAAAAATATCCTTTAATTCATAATCATATTTTTTAAATTAAGTAGAAATCTACTACAGAAAAAAATGTTTTTGAAGGTTCTTTGTGTGCTTTCCTTTTGCTATGAAAATCTGCATCTAAATTAAAAAGTAAACCTGATGTTAACTAAATTGCTTCTCTCTTGTATTTATATTAATTTTGTGTAACAGTTTGTATAGTTTGGTTTTTCGCTGCTCTTTCACTGAATTTTGAAGCTACTATATTCAAGTTTCACTTTAACCTTTTAATGCAGAATATCTGCTAGCAAATCATCCATAACTACTATATTAATGCTAAAAAAATATTACACTGAGAATCCAATGGGGATTTGAGACATAATTACATGGACTTCAAATATTGTGAGAACAATGACCACTTCAAAAATATTCTTTTAAAACCTGAGCAATAGTGATTTCATTAAGTAAACCCCAAGAATATCCAACTCCGGTTTTCATTCTGTCATTGTGTTATGTTTCAATTTTAATATAAATGCTAGGACTTTTTAACACTCATACTTTTTACAGGGAGAAAAAAAAACACTGTTACATTCAGAAGTTCTAATGTTCATCACCATCTGATGCTGTCATGGAAGCAATTGCTACTTACACTCTTTTTAAGAAGTGAGAATTGCAATTCCTCTAACTGATGACAATGTAATTATTCCTTTTACTGTCAAAACAGAGGTGATTTCCTTTACACACACACACACACACACACACACACACACGACACAATTCCACATACAAATCCAGGCTGATCTGATTGTCTCAGACTGAATGAGTTAGATCACGTGAACCAGGAGCCTTAGTGATGATGGAAATCAAGTGGACCACCACCCACCCTCAACACACTTTTATCATCCCCGTCTAACGCAAGGAATCATTCCTCCACAGCCACTCAGCTTTCAACACGATGTCACAGCATCTACAAGACACAGCAACAATCATCACAGAAATAACCAGGAGGAAAAGAGCCACCGTGCATGTGAAAATCTCCCTGGGAGGTTTAAATGGTTTCATTAGCTATTCATTAACACATACAAAAATTAGCCTTCACAAGAAAAAAAAGAGAGTAAGTTCTGTGGCGCCCGTGGATGCCGGCGTGGGTGAGCACGGTCCTACCTGGTCTCGCAGCTGCTGCACTGAAGTCTGGAGACTCAGAATCTGACTGAAGAGCGGGCTCTGTAGCACGGACTTCAGGAGGCTCAGCTTCTCCTCGTTCGCTGCGTCCCCACGTTCCCGCAGCTTGGCCTGCAGCCGCTCCACAGCCTGCAGAGCCCGGCTTTTGTCTGTTCCAGAGAGTGGCATTCGTCAGTAAATGAACTCAACAGCAAACATCCAACAAAAACCAAGGGCCATGTTGCAGAAATCCTAAACAATTCCTTTCAGGTCCACAAAAAGTGTCACTTTTCATGAGAGCAAGTTATTTTTTAGTTCAAGTACAAATGTCTGAAAAATAGATAACTGTGTATTTTTTAATAACTCCCAAAATGAAATAGCAAGCTTAACAACATTTATGTATAGATTTTTCAAGACAATTCAACCAGTAGGACAGAAAAGGGGGATCTATAACATGTGACCCTAAATGCCCCTCAAACCTTAAATGCCCCTCAAACCTTTAAGTTTCATACAGGTAAGTTTGTGTGAAAACACGGAATTAAATATAGCATACAGTACATACCACTAGTTCTTTTTAAAGCACAGAAACTAATTCAGATAAAATATATTTGAATCTCAATGCTATCTGTTTCAAACCTCATATAAAAATTACATAAAACCAAATTATCTCTGATATTGAAATCAGCTAATGTTTCCCCAGCCTCCTTTTTTTAAGATTTTTTTTTTATGGGAAAGTCAGATATGCAGAGAGGAGAGACAGAGAAGAAGATCTTTCATCTGCTTGGTCACTCCCCAAGTGGCCACAACAGCAGGAACTCAGCTAATCCAAAGCCAGGAGCTACAAGGTTCCTCTAGGTTTCCCACATGGGTGCAGGGTTTCAAGGCATTGGGCCATCCTTGACTGCTTTCCCAGGCCACAAGCAGGGAGTTGGATGGGAAAAGGGGCTGCCAGAATTAGAACTGCTACCCATATGGGATCCTGGCGCATGCAAGGCGAAGACTTTAGCCATTAGGCTACTGCATCAGGCCCTGTTTTCCTATTTTTAAAGATTTATTTACTTATTTGACAGTCAGAGATACAGAGAAAGAGCTCATCCAGCCACCGGTTCATTCTCCTGATGGCCTCAATGGCTGGGGCTGGCCCAGGCCAAAGCCAGGAGCCCTTTCCAGAACTCCCCTGTGAGCAACAGGGGCCCGAGGACTTGCGCCATCTTCAGCTGTGTTTCCCAGGCCTCTAGTAGGGAGCTGGACTGGAAACAGAGCAGCTGAGAAACAAATTAGAGCCCTAATAGTTTCCCCTAAAAACAAAAAAAATCTAGAATCACAATCAAGTCAATAACACATGGATATGGATATCACTAGGGAAACACACCATCCAACTTACAAAACAACTTCATCTATTACCGGCCAGAACATTCTGTAATTGAGAATTAGATTGAAAAATCTACCATTAAGCATATACTTTAGAAAAAAAAAAAAGTGCTTTTTAATACTTTCAATGTGTTCCCTAAAATTAAGTAGCAAATTTATATGCAAAAGGTCTTCAAAAAGTTCATGGAAAAGTATTTTATGCAAAACTTATCCATGGATTTCAAATATATTTTTGTCTAAAAAAAATTTTAATTTAAATTCCATATCAGTCTATATTGCCTTAACAGACTCACAATGGTGGCAAATATGTGGAATGTTAAACCACCATTTGGGAGACCTACATCCCAAGTGGGAGTCCCTCTTATAGTGCTGTTTATCTGTGCTTTGGATTCAGGTTTCGGCTAACATACCTGAGAGGGAGCAAATGATGGTTCAACTACTTGGGCTTCTACCACCCACATGGAAGACACAGACTGAGTTTCTTTTGTTGTTTGTTTAAAGATTTATTTATTTTTATTGGAAAGTCAGATATACAGAGAGGAAGAAACACAGAGAAAGATCTTCCATCCACTGGTTCACTCCCCAAGTGCCCATAATGGCCGGAGCTGAGCTGATCCAAACCTTGGAGCCAGGAGCTTCTTCCAGGTCTCCCATGTGAATACAGAGTTCAAGGCCTTGGGCCAGCCTAGGCTACTTTCTCAGGCTACAGGCAGGGAGCTGATGAGAGTGGAGCATCGGGGATACGAGCCAGTGCCCATATGGGATGCTGGTGCATGGAAGGCCAGGACTTAAGTCACTAGGCCTCTGCGCCAGGCACCCAAATTGAGTTTTTCTACCCGGACCCTGTCCTGGCCCAGCCCTTACCTCCTTGCTGGGCCAGGAGATAAACACCAGATGGAACATTTTTCTCTCACACACACTTTCCTTCGTTCTTATTCTTGCTCTCTCTCTCTAGTTCCTGCTGCCTTTGAACTTCTCTTTCTCACCCTCTCCCTCTTGTTGCTCTCTCACTCTCTCTCTTTTTCTGGGTCTCTCAGCCTTCCAAGTAAATAAATGTAAATGAATCTCTCAGGCATTCAAATTAAGTTAAAAAGTAAGCTTCCAGATTACATTAGTTAGAAATAATAGGAATTGGGCCCAGCTCCCTCTTGTGGCCTAGGAAAACAGTTGAAGACCGCCCATGTCTCTCCTCCTCTCTGCATATCTGCCTTTCCAGTGAAAATAAATAAGCCTTAAAAAAAAAAAAAAAGAAATAGTAGGAATCATCACCACAGATAACTTCCATAGCACCAAATATGGAGTTATGTAGGAATGTGGTGATTAGAGCATAAACCGACGTTGCTGATGAATTCACACACTGACACACACACACACACACACACACACACACACACAATCAATGATAATTATTACCTGTATCATTTTAAAAGAAAATAATGATGAAGATACACATTGAGTTTTATTCAGTGTTGTATTTCCCATGGTATCTCAGGATTTAAAATGTAATATTAATTTCCATCTCAATTCTTGTAACTCGGTACAGGTTAACAGACTGCAGCCAGAAGTAATGGTTGAACAATGTCTGTATTTTCCCTTTGCTTTCCACTTCTTTTGAGGAACTTTCCAATTTGGGATTTCTCAATTCATTGTCACCTGTTATCAGCCCAGCTGCCATGACAGTACAGCTGCCAAGGTCCCAGCCAAGAGTGAAATCATGACATCTACTAACAGCCAAACTCAAAGAGATACCTGTAAACAGGCATAAAACTAACGCAGATCTGTATTATACCTTTAACTAATTCTACAAATTACTTTCTCTAAGACTAAGGAGCAGCGAGAAAGATCAATAGGTAGATAGAACAAATTTTAATATTTCATCCTAAATTAGCTCATGTATTAATTTAAATGCTTGAAGTAAACTGGGTTAGCCTCTTTATTGTTACTCCTTATTAATTAAAACCCAACAGAGTTCAGTAGGACTGCATCTGCTACAAGTAAAAGCAATCATCATCTTTCACTATTAAAAGCGCAAATTTCCAGGGCTATTCAAAAACAAGTATTATCTAAAACTGGTTAAAAAAAATCAAAATTGGGTCTACAGTATGCTTTTTTAAAAACCACAAGTTGAAGAGGATCTCTCTTTTTTTTTTAACAAATGGTGTTTTGTTTTGTTTTCTCTTGTTTTTTTCAATAACACCATTAATGGGTCTAGAGACAAAACTGACGCAGCAACTACAACTACCAGTGTGTGTGTGTGTGCAGGCTGAAACCAATGATGGACACAGCTGGACCCCCAGGGGTGGCACACGCAGGAGTCCGGCCTGAGGTTATTTCAGACGAGGGTTCTCTAGGGACCCTCCCAACTGAACTGCTGGACTCAGAATTCCAACCACCAGGAGAAGTGCAGGATCTGTAGTCTGAGTGTGAGTGCGTAAGTCAGAACCGAGCCTCCTCAGTTGCTGAGAATGATGTAGTGGATGGCATGCCCAGATTCACAATGGAGGTCAGGACAACCAGTAAACTGAGGCCTGCAGAGGATGTCCAGCACCATGGAGGGCAGAACAAATGGACAGCTCTCCCAGTCCAGCGTTTATATCAAATATCTAGGTGAACAGAGACGCTAAGGTGGACTATGTCAGCCAATGGATCTTGGAAGGATTTCCTCAGGCCTGAAGCAACAAAATCAACAGCAGTCTAGAACAAACAAAATCACTTGAACAGTACTCCCAGAGCATGTTCCACCTAAGAGACTGTGATAATGTCGGGTGGCCATCCCCCACTGTCGGGTACTGCTATAGTTAGGATACTTGGTGCAGCTTCTCCCCTTCTCTTTGCCTTTCCCCCAGATACAGGAAGAAGAAAATTGGAAACAATGGTCTCATCCATTTTCCGCTATTCCTCAACTCGTTCCACCCTAATTAATAGTCAACACTGGTATACACCCTTCCCAACTATATAAGTATCATCAAAGATAAAATTTAAGAGATAATAATTACTTAAAAAACCAAATGGTGTTTTATTAATAACAATTCAGATGAAATTGTCCAAATAAAGAAATGCATTAATCTGGTATAGTGTTTATAGACAAGCTTTTTTTAAATTAAGCTGCTACATGCACAACCCTAACTTTTAGAATGCACCAATTTCAAAGATCCTAATAGAGTTTCAACTCTCAGAAAAGTAGGCAAAAAAGACTAAGACTTACCTATAGCTTCCAACATTTTTTTCCAGAAGATTTATGTTTTTCTCTACAACAACTAAAAACTTCAACTCAAATGGAAGCCTGAAGGAAAAAAAGAAATAAAATGTGATAATTATGCTTTATTAAAACATTATAATTCCAATACCAAATACTCTGAAAATCAGTTGATACAGTATGATCATAATTTCTCTGATCATTAGCAGACAGTTGATCTAAGAAAGTTCTCATGATAAGCAAAAAAAGTAATCACTTTATGATTGACTTGAAATTATCTTATATTTTCCCATAATACTGGCAAAGAAAGGTAAAAGGCATGAATTTCATTTTAAATAAGATGGCAAAAGTTTCCAAAATATTGCCTTGGGAGTTTCTCAACATACATCACGATAATCTTGGATTAACTTATAGATCTTTAATTATAGAATAACGAGTTTATGTGACTCCGCATGAGAAATTCTATGAACCAAAATGTAAAAAGTGGAAAATGTAATCTAGCCCACAATGCTCCCAGTCTTAATGGGGGTGACAATATATGCACACCAACTGGTGACCCCAAAGCAGAATACAGACCACCTGAATACAGTAGGTCACAAATAAAAAATGAAAGCCACTGAGCATTACATCCTCCTGACTCTTAACTCTAGCATTTTCCTCTTTCCCATTCCAAATACCCAGGGATCCCATTACCCTATACACATCTTATCTTTCTCTGACAAGGCTAATAGACTCTTGCATATAAGGAAGTAAGTTTGTACTGTCAATGACGAAGCCTTGGCTGCCCCAAAATTCTGCACAATCTTCTCCACAGTGACATCTGTGCTTTGCCTCACAGACGACCAGAGTCATCAGAAACTCATTTGGTCTTTCGTCACTAGACAAAAGAAACTACAATCACAAATGCTCATTCTTTCTCTGGAAAAGAAGACACAGGATTTCTCGAAGAAAGTACAAACTGTCTCTTTTTCCCTCTTTAAGAGGGAAATCTTAAAGAGATAAATATTAAAAGGAAACAAGAGCACAAAGTAGATGAGAACATGCACGGAACATCAGTAAGCTTCAGTTAACCGCACAGGAACAGAGAAAACTAATGACACACTTCCTGTTTCAATATAATCTACACTGTCTAAACACGGACTCTATTTGAAATAATCAAAGAGTTTAACTAGCAACTTATGTTTTAAAATGTGCACTAGTTTTGAGCAAAGAAGGCACTGGTTTTGATAGACTGCAATGTGGCCTTAAGCAGGAACTTCTCGTTTTAACCTCTGTCTCCTAGAAGACAAGCACAGTTACTAGGAGACTATGACAAATAATATAAAGCATGCAAATTTCTAGTTCATAACATAATGTACAACCATAAAATATATTTTCAAGATAAATGTTCTTTTCCATATGAAAATGGAACCAATGCAGGGTTTTGCATAGCTTCAAGAGAAATAATAAACACATGAGGGAATCTTAAAAATGAATTGGTGAGGAGCAGGCACTGTGACTCATTGGGCTAAGACATATTTAGTTCACCCCATGACTGACGAGGACCTGATCTGAAGGCCAACCACTCTGCATGGAGAATTCAGCTTCCTGATAATGTACCTGGAGGCAACACATGATGGCCCACATGCTTGGATTCCATCCTGTCACTCACATGGGAGACCCAGGTGGGTCTCCTGGCTCCGGACTTTGGCCTGATCTAACATCAGCCATTGCAGGAATTTTAGTGAATTAGTAGGTGGAAATTCTCTCTCTGTGTCACTATTTCAACAAATTAATAAATGTTAATCAATAACTGAATGGTTTTTCATGAGAATATAATACTCCTTTATGAAACAACACTATATTATGATATTTGTGAAAGCAAAAACGAAAAATCACTCCAACAGAGTAAAGACAGGTATTTAGGACAGCCGTTGAGCCCCAGCTTAGAGCACTTTCACCCCATTTCTGAGGGTCTGGGGTCCAAGTCCCAGCTCTATTTCTGAGTCCAACTTCTACCAACAATCAACCAGAGAGGCAACTGCTTAAGTTCAAGTATTTGGGACACTGCCAGCCATGCAGGAGGCATGGACCAAGTTCCTGCCTTATGATTTCATCTTGGCCCAGCCTCAATTGTGGTAGGCATTTGGGGAATGAACTTGAGATAGATGATTTCTCTCTGTCTGTCCCCCTCACTTTCAAATAAGTTAATTAATTTAAAAAATATTAGGCAAGATAGTCCATTGTGAAAAGGTTCAAGTCCATGTGTAGACAATGGGATACTGGACTGCCTGACATTGTCTGTACCAACAATGTTGGAGTATACTTAAATAAGAGACTGATAGAATTATGATTCCTTATGAAGGACTACACTATTGTAACAAAATGGGAAAAATCTGAAGGGGGTGGAAATTTGGGAGGGAGGGAAATCCCAGCCTATATGAAATTATATCACATAATTCAAAATTCAAAATAAAAATATATTTTTAAAAAGCCCAGGAAGAAATATGAAAGCAATGAAAAGCATGGATAATAGAGTCTGATGCTCTTACAATAAATTTAGTTATTTACTAGTTGTGTGTTTTTGTTAATCATTTCTCTTTTCTACCTATGAGTCTCCCAGCTTACAAATGAATGATAAAGTTTTGAAAGAATAAAATTATATATATATATATATACACACAAACACACACATATATCTGAGTACTTTGTATGCACAAAATACTTCAGCCTTCTGCACTTTCTCCCATGAAAAATTAACTCCGAGTGACAGGTATTAATCATGATATGAGAGGCAATCCAGACTCAGAGGCTTCCTGACTTACGAAGAGTTTGCAGAGGAAATACAGAGCAGGCAGTTCCCAACTGAGAGAAACCCTGTTGTTCAAAAGGTCACCTGCAACTCCGTCATGCACAAGTAGAGTAAATGCGTGCTCCCTACAAGAAACTCTTATCGTAACTATTTAAAAGAAAGCAAAGTGAATGGAGCAGCGAGTCATCAACAGCTGTTCCCAGATGAGAGCCCCTCTCCTCAGGATTTCAGTGATGGAAGGCAGTGTCACCCAGGCTCTGATGTGCTCTGATGGCCCGATATAAACACAGAGCTTGCCTTCAGGTTTCCAGAGGGTTTCACTACTGAACAGCCATGACCAAAACACAAGTTAAAAAATATGTGTGTGCATATGTGTGTGTGTGTGCATGTGTGTGTATATTCCTTTCTGTAACTTATACCCATATCCCAAACATCCAGTTCTAAATATAAGCAAACTTGTGTGATCACAGAATTTTTCAGATGGGAGAAAAAAAGCGAGTTCACACTCTTAGATCACAGACATGAATTCTCCTTTTCACCCTGTCACCATCCCACCATCCTCTTTCCCTTTTTACCCATCTCAACACTATGTGGAAGTATAACGGTACCTGAGTGGTAATAGTGAGTCTTAGCCAAGAAGCAGGACTTTCAAAGAAGGCTCAACAACATTTAAAAAGAATATCAACTTCCACAAGTATTTTTTTTTCTGGGTAACTTACACTAACAGTGACAATGACACATCAGAATCACGAAAGAGAAGAAATAGCTGTGGATATGGTAATAAGGAAATTGACACTTCGTCTGGGACACAAGAGCAGTAACGGTACAAACTCAGCACCTTCCCCATGGCGGGTCCTGTAGCAAGCACGGCATCCAGTGAACTACTTGGAAATTCACACAATTCAACTGGGTTACAAATGAAAATACCAAGACACAGAAAGTTTATGTAACTTGCCCAAGATCACACCATGAGTAAATGACAGACCAGGACTTGAACCGAGTCCACAGCTAAATGCCTACAACAGGCTTCCTTTCCACAGGAAGAAAATTCTCTCTACCATTCTCTTTCACTTTTCTGAGTTCAAAATTGCTACCGAGCTTTTGCCACATACAAACTGAAACCTAAGGAAGAAATAAAGATTCAAAGCAAATAAAGTGTGATAACTGGCACAGACAGCATCCCAATTGTCCAGAATTATATATTTAGTAACCACTAGTATCTGTGCCAAAGAAAGATAAACAGTCATGGCTGTTCATACATTTAAACAGATCATATTTAAAATCCACGATTTCAAGAAAAATGCTCAAATTGCATGTCTTATATTAATTTAAAGATATATTTACTTTATTGGAAAGGCAGATTTACAGAGATAGAGAGACAAAGATCTTCCCTCTGATGGTTCACTCCCCAAGTGGCCGCAACAGCCGGAGCTGAGCCAATCCAAAGCCAGGAGCCAGGAGCTCTTCTGGGTCTCCCAGGTCGTTACAGGATCCCAAGGTTTTGGGCCGTCCTCTACTGCTTTCCCAGGCCACAAGCAGGGAGCTGGAAGGGAAATGGAGCAGCCAGGATATGAACTGGTAGCCATATGGGATCCTGGTGCATGAAAGGTAAGGACTTTAGCCACTAGGCTACCATACCTGACCCAATGCGTTATATTAATTTATAAGGTATATTGAAAAAGCATGACTAGTACAGTGGTGTACTTAGCCTCTGGTTAAGATACCCACATCCCATGTCAGAATTTCCTTATTCTATTCCCACTGCTGGAACTGACTACAGCTATCTAGCAAAACTGGATTGAACTGCTAGCTCCTAGCTCCTGCTTCAGCCAGCCCAGCTCCAGTCACTGCAGGCCTTTGAAGATTGAAACCAAAATGGGCACTCTCTCAGCCTCTCAAATACATGACATTTTAGAAATGTATATACAAATAATATAGAAAGTCCAACTCCCTTCTAGATAACCATTCATTCTGCCTGTAACCATATCACTAATTCATCAGCGCTGAACCTTAGCTCCGATAGTAGCCAGGGAAGTCACACTGCAAGATACACACATTTAAAACTGGCTCAATTAATTTACAGTCACCACAGAAGTGGGTACCCTGACCATCTGCCTCTGACTATACCTTCCAGAAGAATCCAGAAGAAAGGAGAGGTTGACATCTTATTCAAGGTCCTACCTTAAGTAAGAACTCTGAAAGGAATCTAAATTGGTGTGAGCTTAGAATCCATACTTTATCATACCATTTCATATCCTCCACAGTAGCCATATATTTGGCAAGTTTAAAACTCAAAAACAATGGAAGATTAAGAACAATGCAGTATTGCTACTTC